CGAGGCAGTTGCGTAGGTTTCGTAAGTTTCGTAGGTTTCGTAGGTTTCGTAGGTTTCGTAGGTTTCAGGTGGATGGTATTACCAAGGCGGTACTACAGTTTCGAAGCCGATACTTCGGATGAGAAGACGATAGTCCAGATTTCAGACAATAGTATATCTTACAAGGCGATGCTCGAAATCTTGAAGCAATAGTTAAATCTCCAAGCAGCGATTTAAATCTCAAAGCAATAGTTCAGTCCTCGGGTGAATAGTCTAATTTTCAAAGCAATACCGTAGTTCACGAGGCGACACTGTAGTTTCCAAAGCAAACGGTGTACTTACCAAACCAATACTGTAGTTTCCAAGGTGACTCGCTTTTGGGAACAGTCCCCATCCAGTCCGACTATATTAACGCGTTGAATGCCATGGGGGTCACCGGTGACCCCCAACCGAATCCAATTACTATAATTCACTTAATGAGACGATGGTTATCCGAAAGCATTTCTATATTACAAACAATGCTACCTAATTTCGTGACATTCAACTAAATGAACGCGCAGTAATATTAATACAATTCACTCAAATAATTTAATATTCTATTTTTTCCATTTCGAGTATTTCGTACCATAAAATCGTATGCCATTCAACGTGTCAATCAATCGTATCCCATTTCATCTAGCACGCGTTGGAATCTATGATTCAACGAACAGCTCTTCTCTTACCAATTTTTAATTCGATCTTCCGCTCCTTTATGGAAATAGAATTCCGAGTGTATTCCTTTATGGAAAGACAGTTCGCAGACGCGCCTTTTGCCGGAGCCGTCTTTGCGTTATGAACGAAGTTCAAGAGATAAAAGACTCCCTCTCTCTCCCTCCCTCTTGATCGATGTCTGGCATTCAATCAACAACGGGTCGCTTGTTCACGATCAACAGAGACGAACGGGGATTCTTTGTGTCGCAAAGGGTTGAAAGGCATTATTAAACATGCCGAACGGAGTAGGGGCCGGCAGGTGGTCGGAGAGGTGGTGGGCGGCATTGATTCGACGGTGGAAGCAGGGATCGATCCCGACCCGATCGATTCTCCTCGTTCCCGAAGCTTCCTGGTCTGTGTTTCTCTTTTCCTTCGTCTCCTCAATTATCCTTATTTTTCTTCGGAAGCTTTTACCTACCCCTCTCCGCCGTCCTTCGCCTCTTTCCCATGGAGAGCGGAGAGATCGAGACCTGTTTACGTTCGCGATTCACCGATCCCAGCTCTATTTATTCCTGGAAATTCAATTACTTATCGTCGCGTGTATGGTCTTCCCGGTTTCGCGAACGGCGAAGTCCCGACAAGTATATTACGCGATTGTTAGCGTGTTTCTATTCGAATTCGCGACGCTAACCTTTGGGTTCGTTGGATCTCTTAACACTAAAACTAGGACTTCTTCTTTTTGGAATTGTTACAAAGACAACAGCTGTCTGTGGGCGATTACTGAAGAAATTGATTTGTCAATACGCAAACTGCATTGTGAATCGATTAGAGGCTCGATAGATGCATTCTTGGAGTTTCTATACAGGAATTTCAGAAAGTCAGTTTAATTGTTCGGTAGTTTTAGTGTTAAGAGTCGGCTTTCAGCTTCCTTGCTTTAGCTTCTTTCTCATCGATCGCGTGTTCATTCCCTGAGAAATGTTTGAGTTCAGGGCGGAAATTGAAGGAAATCAGTGTCACTGTGGACTAGAAAGATGACAAGTTCGCTGGACTGAAGATTGTGGGTTTAATTGATGTCTTACGAGCTTACCACTGTTTTAACTTTCGAAATATACATGACTTTCAGCAGATAAAATTATATATCAAATGCTTAATTAATATAAAAAAAGGAAACTTCGCGATGATCTCTTGCTGTTCGAGTAACTAAATCATCTGTCTACAACTTAGTCTTCCAAATACGAAAATTTCATCTCGACAGTCGTCCGCAAAGGGTTAAATCTGATAGTCTCAGTTTCTTTCGCTCGTATTTTCGATACTGACACAGTCATCTCCATAAATCCATGAAATTCTAGGCAACACGTTTGTCTTCGTTAGCAACAGTTCGAATGAGTAGATGAACTTGTTATTCCAGCTGAACTAAGGAATATCGTACGAATAGAATTCTTTCAGTGCTTTCGTCGGCGTTCATAGTTCAACCGAACCGCGCACGGACCGGCAGTTTTCATTCGGACTCATCCTAGACCTCCCTTCGATGCTCTACACCCCTTTAGCGACCTTACGCGCATTGTTAAATTCTCCCGGTCCAGTTGATCCCGACAATCCGCACCGGTTCGTTAACACCTTCGACTTCTTTCCAATTAGTCGGCTGCGACGATCCGCGATCCTCCGTTTTCTGGCTTTCGGGCGCGCAACGAAGTCGAAACCGTCGATTCACTCGATTTGAATGTTACCTTTAATCCTGTCGGTGCTGAATACTCGACGAAATGGCTTCCTATTTATAGAGTATTTTCGTGCAACACAAAAATGTTCGGACATTGATGATAAAATGCGAGAAAGAATTTTGAATGTTTTCTTCGTAAAGAAATAACGAGAAGTTGGAAGTGTACTTTGGATATAATGTGGACTGAAGTCTTATTTCAGTGCGATTCGTCTTGCTTAGGTTCTGTCTTACATAACAATGCCGATTTTGAATAAAAAATTCAAGTAGCAGCAGCTATATATAACCTCAGGCGGTAGCTGACGCATTAACCCTTTGCACTCGAGAGGTGACGCTCAGTCACTTGATTCGATACAACAAAACTATAAAGTTGAAACTATCATGAACTTTTCCTGCCTCTTGAGTCTTAGAATTCCTCGAGTTTGAAGGCTTCGGACTTATCCACTGCCAGGAAATATGCTTCTTCTCTTTTCTCATTGAAATCAGGACAAATATTTTCAAAAAAGTTAACAAAGTCCATTTAAAAAGAACAAGCGATTACAGACATCACTTTCAGGAAATTCAAGTTTCTTTGCGAATGTCTTCACACCAAAACTTATAGGATATAAGTTAACTTAAAGTTGAATATTTAATATTTTAAATTATACTTCGCATTGTTACGTGAAATATTGAAAAAAAACACCTCTGTTGCTTAATTTATCTATGAATTATCGTTGAATTACTTTCAAACAATATCACCTATATCTCGTCAAAAAGTGTTGAATATTTCCATTGAAAAACTTTCGAGTGGTGACTCTCAGTCACCATTTGATTTGATACAGCAAAATTATAGAGTCTTATATATAATAACAAGCTTCGAAATTTGATTTTACATTGAAATAAAATAACATTCCTCCTGAATTCACATATGTTTCCTCATCAATTAGTTTCAAAGATCGTCTGTATCCTATCAGAGTGTTGAATATTTCCACCGAAAAACCTTCGAGTGCAAAGGGTTAAAGATTCACTTCTCGACAACAAAGAACACTCCTTGCCATAGAATTATCCCAAACGATTCCCTGCATGTTCCAGCAAATTCCCGCGCGAATCTCAGCAATCCACGATACACCTTCACTAGTGCAAGTCTTTTCACGCCATCCGGCGCAACTGTTTCCATCCGTTCGGCATTCGATCGAAGTCGATCGCTGGAGCGGCCGACGATTTAAATTAATTTCCATCGCGGTACGTGACCCGCGTCGTCCAATTTGTTCCCGGTGACAGCGCGCGTTCCGGGCGCATTAGCGAAATTTCGAGGGACAATTCCGGGAGGAAGTCACCTCGACGGGAGAGATCTTCCACGGTACGCTTGCTCCTCCGGGAAGTCTGGGTAAGAGGCGGGACCTCCTCGAGCGAGGAGGAAAGAGACTCGGGGAATCCTTATCGATCGGATCGCGTCGCTTTCCCGACTCCGCCGCTCATTGAAAACTTGTAACGAGGCTTTCGCGACGCGAGCCATTCGGATGCAAATGCCCGCTCGGGTTTCTTCTTGACGGTTCGCTCGGGAACGACTGATTTAACGATTCGAACCGCGGCCGGGGGACGAGCCCTTGCGGCCGCGGCACCGGTCAAACGTCGCGCCGCGTCGTTTCGCGAATTATTTCCATGAAAGTCGATCTTGTTCTTTGCTCTGCCTTCGGCTTTATTGCCTCGGTTCTTGGATTCTCTTCTTGGCTTTTCAATTAGCGGAACTCGATGTATATACTAGATTTACGGTTTATTCTACAGTTTATTCTATTGTTCCTAGTTACGTGCTCGTTCGTGTAAATCGTGTAGCTTCGAAACCGAAGTATTGCGTATTCGTGTAACTGCACGAATGTACACTTAAACTGTTACTAAACATTGTTGAAAGAAGTATCCGTCAAATTGACGGGTTCCGTGAATCTAGTGTTAAGCAGTTTAAGTCTAATGCTTCCGATAGTTTAATTGTGAGGAGTATGTAACTCTGGATGATTTTTGGAATATTCGTGTAGAAGTGTATTATCGCGATGATAAGAGTTAAGTATTTTAAGGTGTAGATTATTCAACGATTTCATGTTCGCTGGAACATGAGAAAGCATAAGGCTTTGCGTAATAAACTACTATAGAGATTAATTGGTCTTGGTTGACAATGAGATCGATAAAAAGGAAGCGAACGCTTGTCGTGGAACAAATATTCCCATATTACAGAAACAAGCACGATTAGTCGTTTAATTAGACGCACTCATGAAAATTAAAATATGTGGATTAGATGACTGTTTCACGATCGAAGTAGACATTCGACGCATCGACCTCGATACGAGAATATACTAGAGAATACAGATGATGCACAATCAGAAAAACAGCGCTTCGATGGAAAGCACCTGAGAATAACATGGCTCTCATTTGTATAAGTAGAATCTCTATTCATTAATCCGCCATAATGAAACCAAATCGAATCGAAATCTTCCGATGTTCACAAAAGGTAAATGACACTGTTATATAAGAAACCGTTCATACTACGTCACTTCAGGTGCCAGTTCATCAACTCGCAATTAACTTCACCTATACAACCGTAGACAAAAGCAACTTAAACTCTAAATCATTGAATTAGTCGAAGATGTACAATTTGAACTTTATTCATACAGGTCTCCGAGAATCGTTGACAACTCTTCCGTCCGGAAGAGACGAATATAGCATCGTATAGCGCCATGGCATCGAAAACACCGTGTAGGTCTAAGAAACTCGCGTGAAGGTTCGCACGGACCCAGTCGCGAGGTTGCGTTTCGAGGTTTTCAGCGGAAGTGAGAGAGTTGAGGAACACGAGTCCAGTTTGCTTCGGCGCGACTTATAAGTACAAGTAATACAAGAGGGCGGCGATGGCGCCGATTATGCCGGTTATTACTAGTGGATGGATCGCTTCGTCCTTCTTCAGGGACGTCGATTTGTTGTACGTGGTCTTCCAGCCTTCCTTCGGCTTCTTGTTCGCCTTCTCCGAGTCGACCAGCTCGCCGACCAGGTACTTGCTCATCAGGTCGAAGGCGTCCTTCGAGTGGCCGACGTCGTCGAAGTCCTCGGAGCTGTCTTTGCCCGCGTGATCCAGCAGGATCTCCTCGCCTCCAGGATGCTCGTTCAGGAAACTCGCCACATTGTACACCTTGTCGTGCAGGATGATCAGGGTCTGTTCCGTGCCACGCTTTCCGGTTGTCTCGACTTCGTTTCTCGTGTACTTCTTGCTCATCGTGTTGTCTTGCTCTTAGACTCGGCAAGGATCAACCAGGGTTATCTGGGAATAGAATGATGTAATTAGATTCAGTTTTTTTGAGGTTGAGGAGAATTGAGAGTTTTTGATATAAGGGATGCGTTGATCTTGTGGCTGGGGGTTAACCGTTTGCGGACGAATGTCGACGTTTCGATGAAATTTTCATATTTGGAAGACTGAGTCGTTAATACATGATTTAACTCGAATAGAGAGATTGCACGTATGTTCCTATTTTTCTATTGCTTAAGTAATTGATGTATAATTTAGCTTCATCTGTTGAGAGTTTTGTATATTTCATATTTATATTTTTAAGATATTTGGAAGACTGAGTCGTTAATAAATGATTTAACTCGAATAGAAAGAGATTGCACGTAGTTTCCTATTTTTCTATTGCTCGAGTAATTGATGTATAATTTAGCTTCATCTGTTTTGTATATTTCATATTTATATTTTTTAAATACTAGAGTTACTAGATAAATCGAAATGATGAATGTTCAAATTCTTTTAGTTATTGGAAAGGTACCAGATGGTTCTCCGAGGAACGAGCAATGAAATCGATTTAGCGATAGGCAAACTGAATTATAAATCAATTGAAATCTCGATAGATGGACTATTAGTTTCTATGGGAGAATTTCTGTTTGTAATTTTGATAGGGACTTTTTACTTCAGTCAACCATTTGTCTTACGAATTATATTCATGTTGTTTTCGAAGAGTTAGTGTCGTTAATGAATAATTAGAAAAGAAAGATAACATTTAATTTCAAGGATAATATTAAATTACATTTGATGTTAGACGAGAAGTTAATCAAGGTTGAAATTACTAGAGTATACTTTGATTTCCTGATCTTTCTCTCTCGACAACGTGGTAGTATACTTCTATCACTAACACCTCCAAGGATCAATTAAACTAACGCAGGTGTAAATTATTTGTAATCGATTCAGCCTGATGATGTAACACTATAACACAATTCATGTCAATTGTGGCGAGACATACGCGCGTGAAAACTAATTTGATTTTTCACGAGATCGTAACCGACGGAGTAGTCGAGTCACGTTCTAGTTCCAGTCATTCATTATTTATAAACGACGTTTAACTGGAAATGACTTTACTGATCGTTGTGTTGGGAGCGACGTTGTAAAATAGTTTGCATTTGAATACTGTGTACTCCACTGAATTTTCTGCGGATAGTGCAGACTTCTAAGAGTTCAAATATTTGTTGGTTTACATTGAAAATCTAGACGCTTTTGTTACAATTAGCTTGCAGTCTTCTAGACAATCTGCTTCAATTTCTATGACCTAAATGTGATTGGTGTCGGTCTAAAATTATATCGAATTGAAAATTAGCTATGTTACATTGCGTACCGGCTAATTATCAGAAAAATTGTGATGGCAGTTTTCACTGAGGTCCACTTATATTATACATAGAAGAACTCGGATATATTGTTGTGTAATATATCTTAAACAGATAATCAATTCGAATTAAATTTTATATTTTTCCAATACCGCGGTAATTAGCGGAGTTGCATAGCTAAGTGTCTTTGTATAACAACGAGATTTCTCGTTACCGGTACGCAATGTGTTAACGAACCAAATCAAATTACCATAGTTCCTTCAATGAAACGACGATTATTTGAAAACGTTTTTATATTAAAAATAATGCTACCTAATATCGTGACATTCAACTAAACGAACGTGTAGTAATATTAACGCATTTCAATCAAATGATTTAGTCATATATTTTTTAAACATTACTTAGTAATAGTTTAAGTCGATCTTGATTCGTGCAATTAAGCGAATACTCTGGTGTTGAAGCTACAATTTTCGCGATTTATATAAATGAACAAGTAGTTCTCTAGGAACAGTAAAATAAAGTATAGAATAAATGCCCGTAAATCTAGTGTTAATATAGTAAGAGAGTCCTTACATCCACGGAACATTGGGATAATTATTACAAATCCTATAAATATAAGAAAACCACGAACACGAATGCGTAGCGTAGCTACGTCATCGATTTCCGCAATTAAGGATCCCCTTTTATCCGAGTCAATGTGACTCTACAGGTACAGAGTCCTTTCTGTCACACAGAGAAATCGTAAGATCGTACGTTAGAGTAAACATGATTCACCTAACAGGAGAAAAAGTTAGTGCTTTACATAACTGAGTGTATTAAATCGCCTTCGATTGCTATCAATTATTAGTGATTCCGTTACTACAGATCGTAAAATTCAGATTCCACTGCCGTTACGCATCGAACACGCAGAAAGTAAACATACATTCACTCGATCGAATTTTTATTCGTATTGTACTATCGCATATTTATCTCTCTGAGTGTCACCGTATTGAACAGCATTATTTACAATAGAGAAGCGTCCTCAAATAGCTATCCTTCAACACTAGAACTACCGTACCAATCGAAATGACTGGTTTCATTTCTTCTGTTTCGCTATTATTGATATCTTCGAAGCATTGAATGTTCGAAATGACTTTGAAAATAAATAGTTTCATTTGAATACTATAATGGACGTCTGAAGAAACCGAGAATAATCTATTCTAATTTTTATAGGGATTGCATATCGATCGTATTAAATGTTCGGTAGCCTTAGTGTTCACTGATGATTCAGTTTGCATATTATTCAATCAGTTTCTCTAGTAATTTATCAAAGCATCTGATAATTAATTTAGGAATGAGTCAGTTTGATCCGTAGTAATTCTAGTGTTAACACATTCGTGACATTTCCCAAAATTTACCAGCGTAACGTAGGACTACGTTATTAGCACTCCACTAAAAAAATTGAAAATAGCGTAACACATTACTAGCATTCTACTAAAAGAACGAAAAATAACTCGACATTGCGAATTCTAGAAATTCGTAATACTGATAATTGACTGATCACAATTCGCTTCGACTCGGACACCGGTGAAACGGCGCTTGACGCGTTAAAAATTTCATCGGCGATTTCTCATTTGCGTATAATAAAAGAGTACCTTCACCGAGTATCAATCGGAATGTTAATTTCGTGTTTGTCGTCGAATCGATACCGCCTCCCAACGTGTCGGTATCTTGTTTGTTCTGTTAGTCAGCGAATCGTTCCTTTCAACAAATAACCGATACCGACAGGTGTGTGTGTACTCGCTCGCGCGTTTGCGTTCGATGATTTTATCGTTGGCCCTCTCGAGAGCCTTTTGCCTAATGTAAATCCATTCCCGGCCCGAGTTTATTGTTTCTACGCGGACGGTTTATTTGCGACGGGCAATAAACGGCCGTACCTCGTCTGTTTTATTATATAACCTGTGTCCGATCGCGTCGGTGAACGGTCAACGAAGGAAACGCCATCGATATCGGCCAACGGACGGTAAAAGTTTGTTTAAATATACTTTATTGATGCCGACCTTCCGTTGCTTACTGTTTTTCACGCGTTATTGGCGTAATACGCATTTAACCATGAACGGATAGCACTTCCGCGAAGGTGAACGGAATACATTAACGCTTTATCTATCCGCATTTCATTTATTACTTTTGAACGGTTAATCGAGTTTTTGATAATATATAGTTATAGCTAAATTTAGATATATAATTATAATTAAATATAATATATGGTTATATATAGATAATAGCGATTGTAACTTGATGACAGTTAATATTTAATTCATATTATCAACAGTTAATGTTTTAATTTGCACTCGAGAGGTGACTCTCAGTCACTTGATTTCATACAGTAAAACTATAAAATTTGATATTTAATATTTCCTATAATGCATCACTTTGAGAAATATTCAAATAAAATAGCTTCGTTCCTCGATGTACGCGTGATTTCTCAACTTAGTTTCACAAAATATCCATTTTATCTCATCAGAAAATGTTAAAGTATTTCTAGTGAAAAACTTCCGAGTGCAAAGGGTTAGTCATTGTTAACCCTTTAGATGAAATTTCCATATTTGGAAGAGTAAGCAAACAAATGATTCAATTAATCAAACAGCAACAGATCTGTGTAATTTTCTTTCTATTAAGCAATCGATATATAATTTATCTTCATGCTGAAGGTTTCATATTTCAAAGAATCTTAAGGGTTAATTGTTAAATAAGTGAAACTCGTTTTCGATATGGTAAAGTTATCGAGAAAACGATGAATCGATGGAGTTGGTGATTGTTTCAGAGAAAAATTTCTCGAATGTACAGAACGCTATAAAAATAAAGCAGACGAAACTATGTGAAAACAGATAGTACCGCGAACGATAACATTGAGTATTTGTATTTACGATTTGCCAGATATCACGAAAAAATACGAAGAGGTTGGTTCGTTTACTCTGAATCGAGAGTCGATAAACTCTATTACGTACATTGTCATTGAGTACATTGCATTGGTGAAATGAAGAGCAAAGTATGAAAGTACGATTTTTCGAGCAGCCGAGATTCAATTACCAGTGCGTACTATTTTTTGACGGATTCCTAAGTGATGCTAACACGTGAAGCGCAATTACTCGGAGGTCGCCGAGGGAGATTGCACAATCGGCCTGTGCTGTAAGATGATTCTTCGTTTTTCTAACTATGATACGAGTAGCCGGGAGAAGTCGCTATCTTCGACATTTGCCTCGTCATGTTCGAGATAAAAAAAATTCACTGTTGCGTGTGCGATATCTATTTATATGACTGAAACCCCTTATTATGGAAAGTTGATTGGTTAAAAATCGATGGAATTGTGTTTAGATTATGCAGGATTATTACAGCAAGATGACCGAATCTTGGGAGTCGTTGTCTTTCGTTGCCAATGGAGCTTGAAGTGAAAATGTAATCGAGTAACCTTCGTTTCAGTTTCGAAGGTTTTGGAAGGTTATAGACATTGGATTTGTAGAATTGACTAAGATATCTTGAAATATGCAAAAGCTTCAGCAGATAAAGCTGAATTATATATCAAATCCTTAATTAATATGAAAAAGGAAACTACTCGATGATCTCTGGCTGTAACTAAATCATTTGTCCGCAATTTAATCTTCCAAATATGAAAATTTCATCTTAAAATGTCGACTTTCGTCCGCAAACGGTTAAGTCGATCTCGACTCGCGCAATTATGCAATTTTAATAATTTATACAAACGAACACGTAGTTCTCTAGGAGCAATAGAATAAACTACAGAATAAATGTCCGTAAATCTAGTGTTAAAAGTTCAATGGAATTCTTATGTCAGAACAGTTGTTTTCGTGTTATTCTTTGTTTACCGACCGACTAATCTAATCGCGCCATTTATCTCGTGCCGTCGTTACTTTGTTTCCAACGAGTCTTCTACTTAGCAAAATAATTGCTCCCAAGAGTTCGCACGAGAATCCACATTTAAAAATTCTCGTATTCCGATGACACACTTAAACTGACATAACATTTAGCTCGAATTGATACCGAACATCGTTCCACCAAATACCGTAATCTGAAATTACACTGATAGCCTTATCAACAATGATTGTGCTCGTGGAGCGTACTTCAATTACTTGCGTCACGGCTAAAAACATCGCGCAGCTCGGAAACAGCGTCTACCAGATCAAATACTTCAGCCTTGTAACAAACTGAACAAACTGTCTACATCGGCCTCGACTGCGCCGTCACGTTACACGGAACTGAACCGTATTTATATTGTCTCATTATCTATCGCTCGCGATCGAGGCAACCACTAATTACGTACGATTCTTAGAAACATTAACTGAATAATCATAGTTTAAACGAATCCCACCGTTACTCAATTTCAATTTTAATAGACTTCAACAGCGTAATTTTAATATATCATCAATTGTTAGTCACATTGGCAATCGGAAAGCAGATTCCTAGCTCTCCGCTAGAAACGAAAGCGTGCCCGGCAGTCACGCGACGCGTCCTTCCGCCGCGAACAAAGAGGAACGCGCAAACTCCTGACTAGCCAACGAACACAGCGACTCGAACACCATGGGACACCAAACAGAGACAATTCCGACCGTTAACAGGAACGCCGCTGCTAGATCATTATAAATCCCCCCCAACCTCTAAACATCGACCTAGCAAAGTTCACGGGCGCATTGCTTAACGGTTCAGCGAACAGGAAGCTATTCGAGAAAATTCGTCCGCCTTCCCCATGATTCATTTCGCTATACATACAATCTCAGAATATTTTACAACGAACTCAAGACACCTTCGATCTCTGTTTATACCTTTTTTCTAAATCTCTCCCGAACCGAGACACTTTTTTCACCTAACGACGCTCGTGCAAACAGAGGCGGCGTTCTATAGAAGTCGCCGTGCTCTATCGAGAATAGAATCTCCGAGACCGCCGCGGGTCGAGAATAGAGAATTCGAAAACCTCCGGAGGAACCCGTTTGGATCCGATTAATCGATTCCGCTCGGCCGCCGACCGAAGCGCCACGGCCGCTGCTGCTCGCCGGCGCGCTCGAGGCTCTCGCGGCTGGAATTCCGCTCGGTTCACGGTCTGCCCATTTTTTTTTATTCACTCCCAGCGCGGACAATCGTGCCGCGCTTCTTCCCACGTACCTTCTTCGGCTAACTTCTCGTCCGCTTAACACGCACTAGCTCTCGATAGATCGTCTCTCGACTGACTGCGCTCGTCGATCCGCTCGCGAATTTCTTTGCGCGCTCCTTGAACCACGCCACTGAGAAAGAGTGGGTTTGCGCGCTC